GCATTTTATCCCGCCCCGTTCCCCACATTTTGGCGGTTTGTGGGAGGCGGCAGTAAAATCATTGAAGACACATTTATATAAAACGTTGGGTAACGCATCACTCACGTTTGAGGAATTTAATACGGTTTTAGTACGAATTGAGGCGATATTAAATTCCCGTCCTTTAACACCTCTTTCCACCGATCCTTCCGATTTTTTTTAACACCCGGATATTTCCTCATTGGCGATTCTCTGCGCGCACTACCTGACAGGGAAGAAACAGCCACACCTCTAAGTAGTTTATCGAGGTGGAGAAGAGTGGCCCAACTCTCCCAGCATCTTTGGTCTCGATGGAGCCGAGATTATCTTGGTCAGTTACAACGGCGCAATAAATGGTCCAGCTCACAAGGTCCTGGTATTCAGATAGGAACAGTGGTCCTCATTCGAGACGACAACCTCCCACCACTTCAGTGGTCCATAGGTCGAGTTACTACAACCCATGTGGGCACAGACAATCACGTGCGCGTAGCGACTCTTAGAACGAGCCGCAGGGATTTCAAACGCGCTGTGCGTAACTTATGCCCGTTACCTTTAAATGGCAATATATTGTAATCCTTTGCTATATATTATTATAAATATTATTATTTCCATTATATTGTGAGCAATTATTATTTATTATTTCAATTTATTTTGATTTATTATTATCATATCTGTACTTTGTTTAGTTTAAGTTAATTATTGTAATCATTATTGCCATAATAACTTACCATTTATTTTTATGTATATTTGAAACTTAGTATTTCAAGGTGACCGGTATGATCGATATGCTCGGCGACTATCTTGGGTACCTAGATAAGCCTTCGATAATCAGTAGTAATACGGATGGCGTAGCCAACATATCCCGCTCTCTGCGCAACGATAGTATATAGTATGTAACGCATTTATTAATTCAATATTTAAAGTGAACCTGCAAAACAAAGTTAAAGTAGTACGTTGATTCAAAGCATTGTTTTCATTGCACGTAACAGTTATACTAGTTAAAATTTATTTAATTGTGATTTTTTTTCTGGAAAACTATAGTTTAACGATGCCTTAAACTATCTAGACCATATTTGAAATTGAAACTGAAATACTTAAACCGAAAAATTCAATAGAATGTAAAATTTATGTTCAAATAGAACTCTACAAGTGTCAATATAAGACCTATATGGAAAAAAGTGATCAAATTCGGGTTTTTTTTTGTATTAACGAATAGTTCGTCGTTTACGTGAAAATATGTACACGGAGTGGACGGTCGAAATTCTATCTCTCTGCTTTTAACTCTATAAAATAAAAACGTCACTTTCAAAACCATTCCCTATCGTTATAATAATTAAAATTTATTTATTCTTGAATTTTTTTCCGCCAACATATTGTTGTTTAACCTATTGTTGTTTAACATATTGTTCTTTAACCCGATGCTACAAACTAAATGTAACAGATTTGATGTTGTAGAATATATAAGTTGTAATTATTTAATTTTTTGGTAGTATTAAAATAACACAATCAATTCTACATAGTTATTAAGGGTACCAAATCTCTGAGCACTATGTGATGTTTTGCTATTAAAAAAAATTAGTAAATCAAAATGTTTTTAAAAATGTATAGATGTATATTGCTTGTTGCGAAATCCGGTTTAATGTAATACGGTTATAACTCAACTGAATATGCTGGATTGCATGTATTAATATTATAAATTGTGAATAAAAATAATAATAATAATATAAACAATATTACTATATACAGTTTTTTTTATTAACATTGTAATCATATATTATTACACTTTAGAACAGAATAAAAATAATATAATATATATCATACAAATATACAATTTTCTTTCTTTTCATTCTAATTTTTTAGCTTCTAGCTTTTGACTTTCTTCCACAATCGTCTAGAAGAAACCGGACAAATGTTTTAGGGGAGACACGCTGGTGCGCTCAAATCAGTGAATTTCCATGTGTTCTCAGACATATATTGTACCAAGGACAAAAATAGAGGATTTGCGGAGACCAGCAAGTCTGCGGTGACCGATCGTGCAGGGTGGTTCTCGTCGGGCCACGACGATACGACACAGTGCACTACAGCTCACGACCGACTGAGATTCAGCCGGCAGCACTCTCGAAGGAGCAAGAGGATGTTGGTGCTTGACGGCGATTATGGCACGCAGCGGTAGCAGCCACGGGACCAAGACCAGCTATACAGACGTGTCTAAAGATCGGCCTTTGCCGAAGGACCACCGAAAACGGTGGCCGCGTACTTGAAACCGACCCGTGTTCGTTCTGTGGGTGGTCAGCTGTGCGGTTCGGACTAGAAAGCTTTTGGCTGCAGATCGGAGAGGCGTGTCGAGTGCATCGGACCGGGAAATGGTGACTGGAGGAACTTGGTGACTATGAAACTGATTAAAGAATAAGAAGTGTGAAGGTGGCAGCTTCAATAGAAACGTGACAAGGCTTCGAGAACGCCAGCTGGCGCATATTACAGGAAACTTGCAGGTTAGATGTGTGCTGAAAATAATGAAACGAAATTAAAAATTTTGATTTTTCCACGATTCTTCGACATTTTATTATATTATATTCTATATAGTAACACTCATTAAAAGTTCAATTCATACTACTGTATAGGACTTACTACTTATAATATAGATATTCTATTAGGTACCATATATTGTGGTAAAATCGTTACATTTGTTGTAACGCTTCAATAAGTTTACTGCCTTGGATTTACCAAGTCAATTCTTATTCCCTTCAGTTTCACCGTCATTTTGTTCCTCCTCGATCATGTCACCATTTCTGCGGTTCCGAAACTCACTCGGCACACGCATTTCGATCTGTAACCTGGCTTTTTCGTCCGATTCGCCCGCCGCTTTCGCAAGCACAGAACAAACATGGGTGGGCCGATTTCCAGTGCACGGTCCTTCGGCGTAGGCTCATCTATAAACTCGCCCCGCTGATCCTGATCCTCTATCGGCGGCTATCTGTGGCGGCAAGTGCCGCTGCATGCCATGTTTTAGGTTTATCGCCGTTGAGCTCGCATCCTCCTACTCCGCCGGCTGATTCGCGTTCAGCCACATTGTTGTAGTACACTGCGCTAAGTCATCTTCGAGGTCCCAACGAGAACGTAGCCTGGTCACCGCAAAGGCCCGCCGGTATCAGCCACATGGCTGACCTGGTCCAACAGCCCGCCGCTATAGTCCTCTATTCATCCTTGGTACAATATGTCTGATTTAGCTCCTTTTCGGTTCCACTAACATTCTCCGATGATTTGTAACACAGCCATCGTCTTTCCTCTCGTGTGCCCGGTTTCATAGTGAATATCCGTAGTTTATTTTTACAACATTGGTGTTTAAATAAACAAATCTCATTACTATGGTCCAAAATATTATTATTTTATTCGATTGCAGCCAGATACCATATATAATCCATGTATGTGTATTTATGTCATATTAATACCTACCTCATAAGTTTTAACTTTTAACTAAAATCCGCAAATAATCAATATAATACTATATTTTGTTTAGGATTTTGTGTACTCGATGTTTCCAAGACAAAAATGTATGACTATCACTTTAGTCTATAACGTGACACAGAGACACTATATGGAGACAAGATTAGGTTTATGCATACTGTTAAGTGTTTTAAAAAATACTTTTAAAAAATATTTGAGTAATTACTCAAATACTTATAAAATAAAGTATTTAAAATACCACAGAAATACTATGTATAGTAAAGTATTTGAAATAATTTTCAAATACAAAACAAAAAAATCAATTTAATTCTAAATCATTCATAATATATTATATTAATCAAACATTTGAGTGTTGCATTTTACTAACATTATTTGTTCAAAATATTGATTCGTCGTAGTTGTCTTTTTTGGATTGTTGCATCACCAACACTAAACACTCTCTCTACTGATTCACTGCTAGGTAATGGAGTGTTGTACTTTACAAATACCTGAAAATTAAGTACAAATGTTTTAGTAATATTACTAGTAATAGTATAAGAAGTTTTTAACTAATCTTACTTTTTTGATAGTGGGTAAATTATACAAACATTCTAAAGTCTTTGTTGGAGATGAGCCCAAATATCTATCTATTTCATCAGTAACTGTTGATTTTTAATTTCAGGAATTTTGTGACCAGTTAAAAAAGGAAGATAAATTATCTTCATTTGGTTATCTTCTACATCATTATTGTCATTATCACTGGTATGTAAGTCATAACAGGCACTTTATATTCTGGGGCCAATTATTTTTTTATATCATTTGTAATCCATGCTTTTTTAAATAGTGGGTGGCAGACAGCAGCAGTAATTAAAAATTTGTCTATCAAATAATCGGCAAACCTTGTTTTCATACCTAAAAACAAAAATTATTATCAATTAAGTTTGTTTATTTTAGCTCATGAGTATATAAATGTATTTACTACACAGAAATATAAATATAAAAAATAGATCAGCTGATTAAAATTTTACATTATACATCAGTAAGACTGTAAGAGCTAAGAGATACTATATATTTACTACTTAGTAAATAGTATTTACCAATAAAGTAAACCAAAAACAGCTAAAATGAAAAGAAATTAAATGTGCACAATTTATGTACTTGGCTAAATAAGATTAATATATTTAAAAAATATTAATTATTACATACCATTAAGTATGGCAGTCACCAGAGGTTTCAAATAATTAGAAACTGTTTGATCACTTGTCATTAATTCATATTTATAAATTAATTCTTCAATTGTAGGTAGGAGATTACCAAAGTACATGTTAGTATCACCCTGGAGTAAATCCAAGCTTATTGAAATTGGCCCCATAATTGTTTGATATTGACACATGAAATAAATATCACTTCTATTAAATCTGAAAATATTGTTCATAAAAAATATAGATAAAATAATTAATCATTTTTTACGATTTACAATTTACCTGCCAAAAGCCAATTTGTCCATTATTATTCTAAACTTAAGTTCATTATTTTAAATTTATTTATTAAGCAGCACCACTGCACCATACAGTGAATTCCAACGTGTCTCGTTGGGTGTAATTAAATTAACACCAAGATTTTGTTTAAATAAATCAGCTGACTTAGTTGAACGACCTTGTTTATTCCACAAAGCGGTAGACTTGGAAAAAGTGCTTCTTGACTGTTTTTTGTATGCAAGATTAGACAAATAAATTATTTTATTTTGTATTTAATTTGTACAAATTTGTAATTAATAATCATCGCTCTATGCAAATCTATGAGTTAAAGGGCATGTGTGTATGGTGGATTGGATGCATGACCCGTCGCATGCTAGATGTAAGTGAAAAAGCTGGAAATTCAAAAAAAAAAATAAAGTTGTATAGCTGCCGCAATTTTTGAGTATCTAGGAAGCAGTCACCGGCTCTGTTTTGAGTGTAGTCTGGCAGGTAGGCCATCCGACTTTGTCGTATAGCGGATGACGTGCAAAGGTCAGGTAACACGATGAGGCAAACAAACCGAAAACTGTGACTGAGTGTCTAGCGGTCTCTCCTCGTCTGATGCATTACCATGCCCCGCTGTATGCCCGGTTCTGTTTTGTTATATTTTGAAATTATTCAAATGCATACAAATATCTGCTAATATATTTTTAGAGTACATAAATAATTCTAAATAATTTACCACCTACTGTGGGAGTCATAGCTAGTTTAAATGCATGTTTGACATTTGATACAAATACATTACAAAATCCGCATCAAGAGAGAAGCACGTAGAGGTTGTCGAATTTCCTCTATGTCTTAGTAAGCAGTACTATAATAATTCTGTTGCTGTTACACCTGCATTGATAAAGTCATTTCTAGTATAATGTTTCTGAAATAATACAAATGCATACAAATATCTGCTAATATATTTTGGAGTACATAATAATTAATAATTAATAATAATAACCATACAGTGAATTCTACCTTGTCTCGTTGGGTGTAATTAAATTAACACCAAGATTTTGTTTAAATAAATCAGCTGACTTAGTTGAGTGACCTTGTTTGATTCACAAAGCGGTAGACTTGGCAAAAGTTCTTCTAGACTGTTTTTTGTATGCAAGATTAGACAAAGTTTTTTTAGATTCCTAGAAAAAACAAGTTATACAAATAAATTATTTTATTTTGTATTTAATTTATAAAAATTTGTAATTAATAATAAAAAATCAAGCAAACATAATTTATTGAAATTTGGGTATAGATAATAGAAATAGTTAATGCTAATCATATTCATACTTATATCTTAGAATATTTTTTTCCATATATAATTATAATTTAAATTGAAAGAAAAATTTAATTTTTAAATGTATTACAACTCATACAAATTTGATTATGATTATAAGTGTTAAACCTACTATCTAATAGTTTTGTCCTGATCACTATACTTGCTCAAAATATATTCTTTTCGATAAAAATATTTTTAGTATTTTATAATTTAACAATATTAAGCTATCTTAAATAAATGTTTAATTACCATTGTTGCAATTAAATTTATTGTGTGTACACAACATCGATGGTGTTTTGGTAATGCATATAGCAAATCATGGTCTTCATCATTTTGAATGTTCTCGAGAATGTTCAAGTTCAATGCGTCGATTTCTTCTAAATCATTAACAACCGTATCGTTCACTAGCAATGTATCAGAGTATTGCCATGTAGTCATGTAAATATCAACTACTTTTGTTAATGCTGCAACTAAAATCTATTTAATTAAACAAAAAATAGAAATAAACAATACACATTCTTACTTTGACTAGTTAATTTTTTGTTGTTTAAAAAATCTTCTAAAACTGGTTGTTTTTATCTGATTGTCTTAAAGAACCACCAGCATTATGCTTCAATAATCCATAATTTCATCTCCTTCAAGTGTTTTTGTTCGTTGCATTATCAACGTGATCAATTTTCTTTAATATAGTTGAATGTTGTGTCTGAATAAAATGAAATAATATAACCTTTTACTTAACATTATAAGTTTTGATAAATAATTTACACTTTTTAAGTAGTGGCGCAACTGGGATTTTTTTTTTAGGGGGGAGGGGGTTATTTATTTTATTTTATTTCATATACACAAGAATACTTGGCCCCTCTGAGATGACTAGTGTGGGGGCCCAGGAAAGTACATAATATAGAATAATGAGATCTATGATACCTACATCCTAAGCACTTTTAAAAAGCTGTGCGCCACTGTTTTTGATGTATTTTTGTAATATATTATGTATTTGTGTGGTATTTAAAATTAATTTAACACACAAGATATTATATGGGTCAACTGTCATAGGCAGGTATGAAATTAACATTGTACTTACACTTAAATGTTTTCTTATATTAGAGTTTGAACGTGAATTCACCTTGTAACACTTTGTACCGACCATAGGCGTGTCCAGACCTTTGACGCAGAGGGTGCAACCTGGCTAAAGCCCCTTAGCCTCCCCCTTTTTGTACAATTTTTGTTAATTTAAAATTCGTCATTATTATTATTTATTATAACTAATATGAAAAAAAAAACGTTGTCCCTATTTCAGATGGCATATAATAGATGTCAGTAGGTAAATAATTAAAATAAAATCATGTATAAATAATAAATATAATATTATATAATATATATGTGTCAGTTACAAAATTTCAAAATAATTAAAGTTCTAGTCGCCGTTTTGTATTGTTAAGATGTTTGAACTCTTCAATTATGTCTTCTGGATCTAATTCAGATGCCAATTCCTGTTCAACAAATACTAATATCATTGACTCCAATCGATCTTGCGTCATACAACTTCTTAGCTTTGTTTTTACCAGACTTAATTTTGAAAAAGATCTCTCACAAGAGCAACTTGTGA